TACAGGTCGATCGGAATTATATTCTGGACGCACCCCATTCCTATGAATCCTTACAAAGCTGACATCCACCCCCAGAAGTTCTTTAAAAGTAGCTGGCATGGACGTGGTTAGGTTTTCGTTGGGTTCGAAAGGATAATTATGAATGAGGATATTATCCCGCATTGACCTTGATCTAAGATCCGTAACATCATTTTCGATGACGGACATTTTCCTGTCCATTCGGATTACAACCGATCGTAGTAATTCCAGTTCTCTCCGCAATTGAGCGTTTTCTTGACGCAGCAAAGATATATCTTCATAATTGCTCTCACTTTGTTCAGAAACATATTTTAATTTTGCATTTACACTCTGATCACCCTCCGACAAATCATTTCTAATAGTTTCCACTGATGATTTAATGTCCTGAATAGTGGCAACAATTGACTCATTATCGGCTGGGTCTTCTAACGGTTCACTACCTGCATTCTTCTGTGAGCACTCCTCAACCTGTTTTTTAGAAGTAGCCCCGGTTTTTCTTCTGTCTGACGGCATTGTCAATGCAGAAATTTCACAAATATCACAGATAGCTCTCTCAAAGTACAGAAACAAACAGTCAACCAAAATACGAATATTAAATCCTGCTAGAAATGCCCTAAATTGACCAAAATCTCCGGAGCTCAAAACTAAGCCGCCATACCCTGAGACGTCACGTGATCTTTTTTCATTTGATGCAACTTGGTTTTTCGGAGAATGTCGACCAAAATTTAGGTCACTGTGACCTAGTTTTGACATTTAATGGTTATATCTTAGGTACTTTTTGGCTTAGAATTATCAAATGTTTTCAGTTGAGGCATCTTGGGTTTTCAGAGAATGTTGACCAAAAAGTAGGTCACAGTGACCTACTTTTAATTATCTCAGATAGTTATTGGCTTAGAATCATCAAACATTGTCAGTTGATGCATCTTGGGTCCTCGGAAAATGTCGACCAAAAAGTAAGTCACGGTGACCTATTTTGACATTTTATGGCTTTATTTAAGTATCTCTGGTACTTATTGGCTTAGAATCATCAAATTCTGACAGTTGATGCATCTTTGGTCCTCGGAGAATGTCAACCATAAGAAGGTCACAGTGACCTACTTTTGAATATATGATGTACTTACTGGCTTTGAACCATCAATCTTTGTCAATTAATGCATCTTGAGTCCTCAGAAAGTTTCAATCAAAAAGTAGGTCACCATGACCTACTTATGGTATTAATAGCTATACTGCAATATCTTCAGGCCTAACTGGCAAAGAATCATCAAACTTTGTCAGTTCATGCATCTTAGGATACTTACAGTAAGAGGCTTAAAACAGAAGTGATAGATTGTACAATTTATCAGAAGAGCGATTCAAGGCCCTTGGGCCTCTTATTCGATATAGAGGAAAAAGTATCTATGAATCTCATGCTATTTAAAAACAACTTCTCTCTTAAAATCTAGTGTGTAATGTCATTTCTATATTCCTTTTCCCCGTCTCTGATGAATATAAAACATACCAAAAACAATTAATCACATTTCCGTGCGCCGGTTATGCGTTTGACGACGTCATTTTCATCAATCTCAATTCCAACAAGACATTGAAAATCATGCTATTAGCAGTCTGTTTCTAATTAAATTTTAATGAAATTTTGACATATTTTTAAGATTTTGATTCTGATTTCAGTGATTTAAATTTTGGTTCAATCTTTTACACAGTACCAAAGAAATAAAAGCAAATGTAATAGTTATATGTGTAAATTTTTCCGAATTTTGGTCATGCGCCGACAGATTATATCGGCCTTCATATAAATCGTCCAAATATGATTAAAATGAAAGATATATATTTAAGAAATCACAATTTTAAAGAATATTTAAGGCATTATGTCTATGCAAAATTTGGCTAGTATTGGTTGCGTGTTAAAAAAGTTATTAACATTGTCTACGACTTTTTGGGACAACCCTTGTATTTCTTATAATTATCTATTCTGTTCCTAAACTAACTGTGGACATTGAAGTATTTTGTCATGCTATAAGCCTGTGCAATAAACTATCATTAAGAATCTGAAAGATAGTTTTTTGATTAGTTCTGTTAGCAGTAAAAAGAAAAGAATGAATTACCCCCTCCCCCGTGCTTGCCCATGATAGCAGCTAGTGGAAATAATAAAGTACCATATATAACAATACTGATTGATGTGTTTATAAAGTGGACTGCTGATGATGGTAATAATCAGCCTTGCTTTTTATGCACTGACAGTCATAGTTTTGACTGAATTAAAAAATAAATGTTTGAAGTTAAGAATTGTTTGAATAAAATACCAATGTTCAATCTGAGAAATAGAAATTTGAGCTCCATGAATTGAGTACCGGGTAACTGAAAAAAAAGAAGAAATTTTAGGATGTAATCAATTGAACATGTTAATTGTCTCATTTAAATTAAAAATAATACAAAAATAGTGCTGGCAGGATTCTTTTTAGCTCACCTGAGCCGAAGGCTCAAGTGAGCTTTTCTGATCACATTTTGTCCGTCGTCCGTCCGTCCGTCTGTCCGTCTGTAAACTTTTCACATTTTCGACTTTTTCTCAAGAACCAATGGGCCAATTTTAACCAAACTTGGTACAAAGCATCCTTGAGTGAAGAGGAATTGTAGTTGTTAAATGAAGGGCCAAGTCCCCTTACAAGGGGAGATAATCAAGAAAATACAAAAACATTGTGGGGTCATTAAAAAATCTTCTTCTAAAGAACCACTGGGCCAGGAAAGCTGAAACTTATATGGAAGCATCCTTGGGTAGTGTAGATATTAAATTGTTAAATTCATGACCCCCGGGGGTAGGGCGGGGCCACAATAGGGAGTCTAAGTTTTACATAGAAATATATAGAACAAATCTTTAAAAATCTTCTTCTCAAGAACCACTGGGCCAGGATACCTGAAACTTATGTGGAAGCATCCTTGGGTAGTGTAGATATTAAATGTTAATATCATGAACCCCGGGGGTAGGGCATGGCTACAATAGGGAATCCAAGTTTTACATAGAAATATATAGAACAAATCTTTAAAAATCTTCTTCTCAAGAACTACTGGGCCAGGAAAGCTGAAACTTTTGTGGAAGATTCCTGGGGTAGTGTAGATATCAAGTTGTTAAAATCATGACCCACGGGGGTAGGGCGGGGCCACAATAGGGAGTCCAAGTTTTACATAGAAATATATAGAACAAATCTTTCAAAATCTTCTTCTCAAGAACCACTGGGCCAGGAAAGCTGAAACTTATGTGGAAGCATCCTTGGGTAGTGTAGATATTAAATTATTAAAATCATGACCCCCGGGGGTAGGGCGGGGCCACAATAGGGAATCCAAGTTTTACGTAGAAATATATAGAACAAATCTTTAAAAATCTTCTTCTCAAGAACCACTGGGCCAGGAAAGCTGAAACTTATGTGGAAGCATCCTTATGTAGTGTACATATTAAATTATTAAAATCATGACCCCCGGGGGTAGGGCGGAGCCACACTAGGGAATCCAAGTTTTACGTAGATATATTTAAAGAAAAATCTTTTATGAAGCTTTTTTGGGCCAGTAAAGCTGAAACTTATGTGGAAGCATCCTGCATGTGGTAGTGTAGATTCTAAAGTGTTAAAATCATGAAAAGGAAGGGGCTAGGGGCATGATAGGTATAGCAAGAGGGATATTCTAGTAAAGAACTGCATCACCCAAGTAACTCAGGTGAGCGATGTGGCCCATGGGCCTCTTGTTTTAAGTTTGATGACTTAAGTCATATATACTGCACCACTATGTTGCCATTTTCCACTGATAAATGTTATTTGCTCCATGTCTGTTTACCAATAACTGGAAATATAACATAAAAGATCTTGTTTTCTTCAATTTTGTTTATTTGATGACCAAATACCATATCTATGATGTCCTTATGGTCATAGAATAAGCAGATGTTATTTTTTATTAATATTTGTCCAATGAGGTTTTGTTTTTATTTTTCTTGTATGAAACTTCTCCAATTGAATCCTTGGATTCCTGTAAACATCTTAAAAAACTTCCCTGAAGTGACCTTTAAATGCCATTTTAGACTTTGTCTTTACAGTTAATTAATACTAAGAAAATGTCTTTCACATTCTTAGTCTCTGTCCTTTGTCAGATTTTCCCGACTTTGCATTATTTCCTTTTATGGCAAATGATTTTGTTACTTTACGACAGAAAGCTGCTGGCAATTTAATTAATCAATGAGGAACTAACTTCAACATTCAAGGACACCCAATTAATTACATTTTAAACAGTACGTTAACCATCATTTTGCTTGAATATGCCCTTTTATAATTGAAAAATCTGTGCTCTGCAGTCTGCAATAGTGCAATGCTGAATAAAATTTAATTACAGTTGACCTTTATCTATGGCACCAGTATCACAGATACAAGAAGAAAAAAAGTCAATTGCTGCTTCTGACTATAAAACATTTCTTGGTCTCAAATTTAGTTAATTGAATTTGGTGGTGCCCACAAGAACCTGTATGTATTTTAATGTTGATCTGTTTATGCCCATAAACATAGAAATTAATTTTTATATAAGCAGTAGAAGACTGCAATTTCAGAGTACTGTACTTTTATCTAATTAAAATCTGATCCTATGATTACTCTTCACTAACCATCTGTGTTTGTTGCGTACATGAGTAGATCAAAGATCTTTTTTAATAAACTTCAGATTACATACACCTGTGACTTTTATTTCATTAGTTTATCTTCTTATGTCATGGTACATGTACCCAGTCTTGGTTTTTTTTTTCCAATTTTTCTTCATCTATGAGGCAAAGTGTTTAGTAATTTTCTGCTAGTGAGGAGAAAAACAATTTCATATTCAAGCACTTGAATAAACTGAGATATCTTTTAAATTTGTTGTGCATTTGTTTGTTTTTTGATTTTTACCATTTTTAGCCAATTTACTAAATTTTCATTTTAAGGTGATTTTAAAGTACATGATTTAATGTGTTCTAATTTCAGAGTCCTTTAAGGGACATTTCGGCCCTGTACACTGTGTGCGTTTCTCTCCAGACGGTGAGTTGTATGCCAGCGGTAGTGAAGACGGCACGCTCCGACTTTGGCAAACCACTGTAGGAAAAACCTACGGATTGTGGAAATGTGTCATGCCAGACGAATGTGTCAACAATAATGACACAACTCCAGTGAAACCAGAATCCTAATGGACAATGCTTGATAGGTTTTGGTTGAAATGAAAGTACAAGTAAGGCCAGCTGATTGAAATAGGTCTTGGAGCCTTGACCAATGATGTTCAGCCAATCAAACAGCTGTTTCCTCTTTCAACGCGCCAACTTTTCTCAGTGTTGTATTACGACACAGCATGTTTTTTCCTTTGAGACACTCTTTGACAAACGTCAATTGTCATTTAATAAATTCAGTCATTGAAGTTTCCATGTAAAGAAGAAAAAAATATAAAGGAAAACAAGGTTAATAGGTTTTATTCCTATTGCTGTTATGTATTATGAGGTTTAATTTATAATTTACACAATTTCTCTTCATTTTAAAAGCAGGTTTAAAGGTTTTGTAAAATTTTAGTTGCAGAGGAAAAGAGCTGTAATGTTGGACATAAAAGCTGAAAGATAAAATTTGACAGTTGTTTGGAAAGCCAGTATAAATTTTTTTGTTTACATTAAATTCCAATTGCTGTCTATACAGAAGTGGATGTTATATGTATAAATTCATATCTCTGTTGATTTTGACAAAATTTGTAAAAGAATGCATTAAATTTTAAAAATTATTTATTTATGAATGGTTTTTGGTGCTATTGCAATAAAACGAGTTCAAATTTCAGCTTTTTTAAATTTATTTTTTTCAGAATTGTTACATTTTCTTACTTATACTGTAAATGGTCTGAGAGTATAATGGATCAGAACCCAAGGTGCCAACAAATTCAAGCTAACTTGTAAATGTGTTTTATTTTTGTCCTGTCTTTAATTTCCAAGCGATTTTAAGGCAAACAAAGATTCCTGCTTAAGGGTGTGTCGTGATCCAAGGTCATCTTGGCAAGTTTAAGGTCCATGTTAGAAACAAAATGTAAAATTTTAGACCAATCTACCAGTTTTTATTTTATAAATAAACATTGGAAGTTCATACATATACATAACACAAAGATTACCTATGCATTGCAGCATCCTCAAAACATCAAAGACCATGTGTCAACTCGTCGCCGTTGGACCCTTGACAAATTTGTTTAATATTTTCGGGCTTGCTTCAAATTGGAATAGACAGATACAGTGTAATATAAAATGCACGTTACGCATTGCTTATCACTGAAAGGCTTACTGTCACTGTGTGTATTGTTGAGGGATATGAAAAACAATCCAGCAGGCATGTTTACGAAAATTTCCTAAGATCGTTCATAAGAAAGTTCCTAAGACATATCTTAAGAAAATTTTAAGATCATCGTAAGTTTATCGTAAGTTGTTTTTCAAAGCTATCTTACGATTATCTTAAACTAAGACGTCTTAAATCATTATGACATAGAAATACTCAAAGCTTTAAACCATTGTTAAGAATCAGAGAGTTGTCATTTTTGTTATATAATGCCACACGTTATTTCATCAAAATGAAAATATTAAAAAGAATAAAAATGTTTTAAAAAATAATAAAATAAGTATATCTTAAGACATTTCTTAGTCCTAAGATAGTTTCGTAAACATGCCTGCAGATTTGTAATTTCAAAGATCTCCCTGCAGTCAGCCCACAAGATGTCGAATAAAATTTGTCAGGGTTCTAATGGCAATGAGTTGACAGGATCCCTAACGTGAACAAGGTATTGCAGTACCCCAGCATGCTAGGGATTCACGGTGAGGTCCTTTTGACTTGGCGCCGCGTATATTGAGCATATAAGGAGCGTAGGGACGTTAACTGAGACTCCTGCTTGTATGAGTAGAATTGCAAGTGTGTCAGGACCTTGACCCAGGATCATTTTGACTAGTTGAAGGTAAAAAAAAAAAAGTTGACTCTAAAGATAGGACGTTGCGCACGGTATTGGTACTAAATATCGTACTCTTTATGCCGCAAAGAATTTGGCGGCTTCACGATGTCATAGTTACTTAAAATTAAATATAAAATTATTTATGCCATCCAAAGTAATAAATGATTCTAAATATTTTATTTTAAATAGTTTACAAATATTTTATCTATGGTGATGCGATATTCATTATTGGTAATTACGGCGAAATTCCCGTGTCCGACGTTACATCAATTATTGTTCGCGCAACTACAAGGTATGAAGAAATGTACTTACAGTCCTCTAAATTAAATTAAATTTAGGGGATGTAATAAAATATTTGCCTTCTTTAAGATATTGTTGAGTTTTTAACATCATTTTATCAATTTCATGAATCTGGACTGGATCTTCAGTGCGTAAACAAAATGTCTAACAGAAAAAGATCGTTTCCTTACAAAGACATTAGCCGAAATGGTGGTGTGTACCAGACATAAATTCCAGACAAATATGAATTTTGGTGAATAATCCTTTAGTACATATATTTCTAAGATTAATTGAGTTGATACAAAGTATATTTCTTTTCCAACGTAAATATTAGGGAGGCTTTCTTAAGTGTAGCTATTTTGTTATGCACACACAAGTCACTGTATTGCTACTTAGTATGTCTCAGTTACATATCAAAAATAAATAAATTCATGTAAGAAATATACCAATCATTACTGTAGCTTGAAAGTACATTTAATACTGTATTAGCTAATTACATATTTTTTACAGTAATGGTCTACATGAAATAATTGCAAGCATCAGTAAAAGTGTAGCCATTTTGTCACAGGTACGAAAAACGTCATTTTACACACTACGTATATATACATATGACGAGCGTCAAATTATCCCGTGGCTTTTCCTGCAGGTCCGTAGTACCAGCTCATAGGTACTAGTGGAAGGAACCCCCCCCCCCCCCCAATATTCAACCCCGACCCCTATTGGAAATTTTTTCCACAAATTATACATGTATTTATTACACTTAATCATCATGTGTACCATAGGAAAAGATCATGAAAACCCCCAAAATAATATAGTTCGACAGAGAAATACCCCACTATACGAAGTATACATTATAGGGGCACCCCCTTCGTTCACCAAAATTAGTAAAAAGATTTTTAGAATTTTGGTGATTCACCAGATTTTCAATAATGATGAAAGGTCTCCATCCCTTCTTTTTTCACCCCCCCCCCATTTAATTAATTGAGACTTAAGATTTTTTTTTCATGTTCCATAGTATGCAAGACTAACCTAAACAGCAGACTACTACTTGGGCTGACAAAATCAAGATTGAAAAGTCCAATCAAATTTAAGGCAGATTAGATTAGATAGCGATTACCTATCATAAAAGAACCGACTTATATCACAAAGAAACATCAGCACGAAAATTGTAATCGAAAAATATATTTGTGTACTCAGCACATATTTTTTAATTTTTTTCATTAAAAATGACAACCAGTTCCATTGAAACGTAGGAGGTATGAAATTACTCTCATTTTTTCTCTATACAACCAAGGCGCATGTGGACACTATGTAGAAATACAAAAAAATTGTAATGACCTAACTGAAAAAAAAGAAGGAAAAATGGTTGAAAGGGAAAGCTACTTATATATGTGTCATCTCTTTATAAGACAGACCGTACTAAGTGAAGAAAAAATAGAATAGAGAATAGAATTGATAGGATAGAGGAATAAAGGATATTCACTGAGTGCCTCTGACATATCAGTAATTACAATTTTATTATTCATTAAGATTTATTAAACGTCTAAACATTTCAATTAGAAGGTTCAAACATTGACAATTTTCTGCCCTTTTATTTTATTTTTATATTTTTGAAAAATAAAATTCATTTTAAGGTCTAAAATACCAGTAGAATAAGGCTCAAAACGTTAAAAAAATGTTTTATTACATACCCATCAATTTCCTTGTTTTTGTTACTGTTAATTTTACAGAGTTTGATCCGATTTTCCGGATCACCACACTGTGGTTTTCTGAATCCATATCACCACTCTCTGAAACTGATGACGAGTTCAAAGTTCAAAGTCACTGGCAGAAAAAGTGTAAAATTCATACGAATTCAAATACGAGAGCAAATTAAAATATTGGATCTCCTGTATCTCTATATTTCACTCGAAGCTTAATTAAGACCAAATAGGCTAATCTGTCGTTTTCTTTGAACAAGACCATTTTTTCATGTTCAAGGTTACAGTTACAAAATTGCAAATGGCACTTTTAAAGAGTATGTAGGAGGAAGAGTTTTTATTTTATCTTTCTCACAGTTCCTATTGTTGAATTAAGCGTGGAATTATTTTTTTGCAACAATTTTATTTCTAGTACACACTTCAACATGCATGATGACAGTTTGTAAAAAGTAAAAAAAAGAAATGGCAAAACATAAAAAGATTTTATTTTAGAGAAATAAAAGAACAAGGCTCACTTATGTCATTTTTTGGCCCTGTGAATTTCTGAAAAACTGAAACTGCTTAATTTTATTTAACAATGCATTAAATATCATTTAGAACTTTGTTGATTGCATATCTATCAAAAATGACGTAGAAAGGACGTAATTTTCTGGTTAGTCAATGTATTATGACGTTACGAAATGCGTCCATTTTCTCATATTCTGGAAAAGTCTATAAAAACAGCCACTTTTAACGGCCATTTTTCAATATTTTTAAAATATAGAGCGTGACCTCTGATCTTAAAAAAGCCAAACAAACAGCAATTGATATAGAACTATTTCTGAGGATTACAAGACACGTTTTATTTTTTAGATCAGATGGTGCGTTCACATTATTTTTCTTGGAAGTACTCAAATATACCTGTTTACATTAAAATTCAAAAACATTAAAATTCCATAAAGCTTGTGTGCCAAGACCTGGAGTTCAAGGAGAAAAATTCTAATCGAAATGAAAGTACTAAGTCTCTACTTTATTTTGATGTTTAAAATGGAACATAAACTGTTAGTCAATAAATTGGTATATCTACAGGGACATTTTTTGCATAAAGTGAACCGAGCACTTTCCTTTAGTATTGTTTTCAATTTAAAATACCAATATATGCATGAAATGAAATGTATTGGAAGTGATCTTTGATGTTTTGCATAATGATATAACACTTTTTACACCATGTATGACATCTAAAGTTAATAGAATTTGAGAACGTGAGGACCATCTTACCTTAATTAGTAGGAATATTATATGTTGTAACTTACAAAGCATTTTAAACATTTCTCATAAAATCTAACAAGAGCTAGCAATTTCATTTGGTTGCCTTTTATTTAACGAGCAAACAATTTTAAGGACAAAATGCTTATTTCTAATACTTGACAAATCATCGTCTAACTGTCAGATGAGGTGTAAATATCGTAAGGGATTGGATGCATGAGTTTTATGGATGTTGAAGACAGGAAATTGAAGTTAGAATTGATCTCTTGTTTAAAATGTTGGAAATCGTCACTTCATATGGCCTCGAATAAAATGCTCGTTTTACAATTGAATTGACAAGCTTATTATTATTTTTTTTTTGAATTCTGAATGATATAATGAGACTATTTACATTTTCACTTTTTTTTTTTTGATATTCCAATGTTGAAAAAAAAATTCATATATCACTTACCTTGTCATTGGCCATTTAATTGCAAAATTGTTTTGCGAATACATTCTGATTGTACACACAAGTATTCTGAAGTTGATAATAAAAGGATGCTTGAGTTTCTGATTGACTGTTTCTATGTGGTTTTTCCAACAGTCTATTGGAATTCCCATGAATATCAATAGCGCCCTGTTGTAAGCAGACCTATTTTTGCATTCATATGAAGCCGAATTTGTCTTAAGTCTTATACATGAAAAAGAAGAAAACACTTGCGGTGGCCTTCATCTCGACATTTAGATATATCGACAACATATTGTCAATTAAGAATGGCTATTTCCATTCTTATGTCGATACGATATATCTCGGTGAGCTCGAAATAAAACATACCAAAAAGTCTGACAATCTGTTTCATATTTAGATATTTTACATGAAAAAGCCGTCCTTAATCTAGCAACCAAGCTTTATGATAAACATGATGGCTTTAACTTTTCAATCGTCAACTTCTTTTACTTATGCAGCAAGATACCGTAATCAACTGCATACGGGATTAATATCTCTCAGTTGATTCGCTAGGCAAGAGTATGCTCTACGTGTGAATGAACAATTTCTAAAACGAGGTAAGTTATGGACAGAAAAATGTCTGAAGCAATAATATCAGCTGATATAATGAGAAGCTGATAAGAATGATAAAATTCACTGTTTGAATTTTTTAAAAATGTAAATATAAAAGAGACCAGAGTTGACACATCATCTTGGATTCTGAGAGGTTTTGGTTCACGCAGTTGATTTTAAATGGACCTGGACACAGTTTCAACAGAATTTTTTAAAACCAATTCTAATGTTTATAATTCATAACTAAGGCAATTCTAATGACCAGCAAAAATTTGTACATCATTTGTAAATTTACAAAGGAGATACAGAACTTAAAATTCTTCATAATGTAAACACGGCTTGTGCCTTGTTTTTGTTTATATATAGAAAATATCACATTTATAGCAAGGTTCAATTAATCACTAGAAAATGTCTAATTGTATTTAGAATTAACTTTTTAATTGAAAAAATCCGCTTTGAACGAAAATATATTAGTATACCGGTATTAAACCTATGTAAACAAAAACATGGCAAGAGCTATGTTTACATAACAAGGTTTGGAGCTGTAAATCTGTCTTGTATCTCAACAACTAAATTTCAAATTTTTGACGATCATTAGAAATACCTTAGTTAATTATTTGTAAACATAAAAAAAAATGGAAAAATATATTGAAAATTTTTAGCTGAGACTTTGTCCATGTCCCTTTCATCTATGCAAGTAACTTCACTTTTCCTTCAAGTCTAAGTTAAGATAACTTTATAAAGATGATTGAACCTTCTATCGTCTGCCGATATGAACTTGTCGTCTTAAACATGCAGTAAACCAAAAAAGTACTCACAATATCCAGCAGTTAAATGGAAAACATGATGTCGAAGTCGAAAGAGAACAGTTCTGGTGCTGTTAATTACTATACAATTACCTTAATTAAATTAAGACAGTTTTACTTTAATCGAGATTGTTGATATTCTTGCAGTTTCAACTGATTTCTCTAAAACGTACCTTGTTAGGAATTGTAATTATTACCACCTAGAACTAGCTCTTGCTTATCTAATCAGCTTGAAAACACGAATTCCCTTTTAATCTTTTTTCCAGAAAACTTAATTAAAGGTCTCTTGGAAGGATTTGTTTAAAGGGGCCTGGACACAGTTTCAGCCAAAAAATTTCATACCATGTTTTATGTTTACAAATACTTAACTAGGGTATTTCTAATGATCAGCAAATTTTTGATTTCATTTGTCGAGTTACAAGACAGATTTAGAGCTCCAAACCTTTGATATGTAAACAAGGCCCGAGTCATGTTTTTGTTTACATCGGTTAAATATGCTGAATTATGTGTTCGTCAAAGCACATTTTTTCAATAAAGAAATTAATTCTAAAAACAATTAGACATTTTCTAATGATTTGCTGAATCTCGTTTTGTTATAAACATGATATTTTCTAAATGTAAACAAAAACAACGGCACGAGCCTTGTTTACATTTTGAAGAATTCTAAGTCCTGTATCTCATTTGTAAATCAACAAATGATGTTCAAATTTTTGCTGATCATTAGAATTGCCTTAGTTAGGAATTGTAAAAATTAAAATTGTTAAAAAAAAAAAATTCAGTTGAAGCTGTGTCCATGCCCCTTTAAAAGTTGTTTTTTTTTTTGTTTTTTTTTTTGGTTTGTTTTTGTTTTGTTTTTTTTTATTTACTCGATAACCTAAATGTTTATACAGTACTGCATCTGAGCAATAATTTGACAGATATTAGTGACAGAAAAGAGTGTTTTAAAACCAAATAATGTTAGGAATAATGCAGCTTAAAACATTGCCCATAATTTATTAAAATCCTTTTCTTTGATTGCTCATAAAAAAAAAAAATGCCTGTATCGGTTATATACAAGAAGCTAAAAAATGTTAGAGATTTAAGGCGCTCCTAGGTAACTTTAATTGTAAGCTTAATTCATATTTCAACAAGATATAAATTTAAAGATGAACGCCCTCTATATACCAGAAAGGAATCTGACTTTTCTCCATGATGTAATGTTCAGTAAACAAACTTCGGAAAGTGACAAACCCTTTTTTGAGTTAGCATGATGCATGCATTTCGTTTTCTAAATGACTAAACTAACCTTATATTTGCCCTTTTCTCTGAGTCTAGTCTCGTTTCAGTTACCTGTAAAAATGTTAGTTTTTTCTTAATTCTCACGGTCCTAGCTAGCTAAATAAATACTAATCCTCTGTAATTTACGATGTTTTCCCTTAACCATACCCATAAAACGCAGATTTATTGACACAATTCACACTGTTACTTGCTATAAAACCATGCACCCGGGTTACTTTCTTTCGTAACTCTTTAAATCGCAGCTTTAAGCAGAACAGTGTGAATTGAAGGGAAATATAAACAGAAAATAATGAAAATTGTCCTAATCATCTTGATTATTGGTATTATATGTGTCGGTATTTGTGACGGGAAGAAAACAAAAGGTAAGATTTTCATGCTTTCTAAAGTTACAAGAAGAAATTTTAACTATAATTAATTGTTAATATTCAAGAAACTTTGTTACCTTTGTGTTATACTATATTTGACTTCGTAATATCCCGTCTACTTGAACAATACGTATTATTCACGGCGGGTGTGCCAATCGACAGGGGATGCTTACTCCATATAGGCACGTGATTCCACCCGCGGAATATCTGCATGGGAGTCCGTGTTTTATGCTTTGTTCACTGAATTTTATTGTTTTCAGATTTCATAGACAGCAGATATATTCCTATTTTTGTGCATGTATTCAGAAAGAACGATTCCTTAAAGAGCAGACCTGTAGAATATTGAAGGATGGTTCATATGTAGTGATAAGATAAGAAAGAAAGTTTCTTTTCATTGAACTTAGGATAAAAAGTTTTTATATCTCTAGGAAGAATAGTGAGGGATGGTTCCTATACGTGTAGTTATGATAGAAAACAATGGCCCCTATATATGGCTGTCTTGTTTCAATTAAATATATGGTGATAACGAACAGTATTCAAACTCAAGAGTCAATTAACGAGGCCGAGTCTAATTCGAGTGCGCATGACTTTGCGCAGCTTTTTATTTTCACACAGTCATAAGTGCGATAGTACATCTTTCCAAAATATTGTGATTTTAATATAAAATTAACATAATCTGTAACATCTACTGGTCTGAAAATGTGATTTTCGACAATTATTAGGAAAAAAACGCTGAAATGGCAATAACGACGTCACCGTTTTCCGATTTAGTAAGCAATGCATGAGCTGAAGAATGACACATGACTCGCTTATAATTATGTTCGTAGACGTCCATGGATATTATACTACAATCTGATGATAGAACATCAAAAGAAACATACTAGCAATCTGAATATTGCTATTGTTTTTTTTACCAAAAAAATTATCTGCGCCGATAATTCATCTGCACCGAAATGTATCTATACCACAATATGGCAATTTTAGAGGTATTATTCATCGAAAAAATAAACTTTGTAATTAAGACCTAGACCAGCCTAGATGGTAAACTTTTTTGAAATTTCACAATTTAGTGACTTTTTACGATAACTTTCATATATTTGACTGAAAAAGAAATCTCTAGCGCAGAAATACAAAAAATATGGAAAAATGTGATAATTTGGCGCTATTCCAACAAATTCCCATGGGGTCCAATAGTAAAATATGAAAACTTTTGAGATGACCCCCTAAGAGATCGGGGTGGTAAACATTCGATTTTTAAATCTTAAAACAATAAAAGTAAAAGTAAAAATTAATAAACAAAAAATAATTAAAATCCCTAGGGTAGAAATAATTAGACTCGGCCTCGTTAAACTATACAAAATAGAAGCAGAGCAAACACGGATCTCCAAAACATAAGAGATGAGATCAGTAGCCATGGAGGAGTGAGCATCCCCCTGCCGACACCTGTGACACCCGCCGTGTGCTCCTTGTTATGATCGAAAAATAACGGGGAAATCCGTCGTCAATTCAGTGTGTAAATAATGGCAAAACAACAAGTACGGTATAAAAAACATCAGTCTACATTTGAGTCAATGATAGATTGTATTTGCTGACAAGGTCATTGTTTCGACAATAGAACTTACGAAATGATGACTTTGAATGAGGCTGCAGATATTTTTGTTTCGTCAACTTGTTTGTCAATAATTTAGAACGCTTTAGAAATTGTACATCCATAGAGCATTCTCTTGCGTATCGAATCAACTTATAGATATAAACCCCGTATGTAGGTGATGAAGGTATATTGCTGTATAAGTAAAGGTTTGGTTGAACATTTACTGGAACCCTCTATGTATCATTGTTTGTAAGGCTATAAGTTGGAATATTAATTAAAGATATATTTAAAACTGACATGATTTTGAAGAATTTCTTTTTTAAAAATGGAACAATGAGTATAAATTGAATTAATACTTGAAGAATTAAATTCAAATTCTTCTAAAATACAATTTATATAATGAGCCTTACAATCGAAGATAATGTTATTACCTACTTTGTCAACAGAGACCAGTGCATACTGACCAATGGCATGTAATCTATCTAATTCTTTTTTCACTTCTGGATTATTGAATACAGAAGGATAGATGGTTCTCAATCTTTATATGCGCGATTATAATGTGATTTCACCCTATACAGTTGAGGTTTTATTTGGTATATAGTAATACATCAAGATCGAGAACTATATGGGAGTTATAAATGTTTGTCATTCTGTCACTTTGGATTGCAACACATTAACCTTTAAATTTCACATAACGTTTTGGAAGTTTATGACCAGGAAATTGGTCTTGACATTTAACCAAGATCTAACTCGAGCAATAGACATTTTTATTTCGAACCATGCTTGTCATTTATGTTAGAATATTTCTATTTCTATTTGATGTCAGCCTTGATATTACCTCCTTCCCCCTTCCATCCCCAATCCCAATCAAAGTACTCAGAAGTACAGAGAGCCGGGCTCATTTACAGAGTAGAATGGATTTCTGACATGAATCACGTTTATATTCTGATGAAAAAATTATTTTAAAACTTTCAATATAAATGATAAGACACTGACAAAAAATTAAATACCGCAGCTGAATGTAAACAAACAGGTGAAAAACTCTCCTGCTTTACCTCGTATGTGTCGTAACACTGATTATCAAAATTCCTTACGCTAATGAACTATGTTCTTTGACTTATGAAGTTTTCAAAATTTATTTTATATAGATAAAACTTCGTTTAATTTTTGTTGCTTTATTTAGCGTTTGTATTATCTCAAAAGCGGTTGAATATTTTTTGTAACTTTTGATTTTTGCCTTGAACAGGATCACATAAGCCGGCAATTGCTCTTTGAGCAATAAGCCCGGCTAAAAATGAATCCGTTAAAAAATTTTTCAATTAAAAAAATTAAATATTTGAAAAACTTTCAACATCGTCACGATCGATGAAAAGAAATTGAATTTTTTCTTACATGTACTTCTAAATATTCTTATGCCTTTGATTTTTCTCATAAGAAACTACCTCCCCTTTAAATCATTAAAATATTATTGTCTGAATATTGTTCAACAGAGCTTTACGAACAATTGGGTTATTTAGCTGGGGAAATCAAAATTGTTTCTGATACTCAAGTTTTCGATTTTGATTTACTATAAGAGGTTTTTCATTTTTATAATGATGACACAATTATTACCCTGTGTGCTGTAAATTGGAAAATCCCAATAAAATTATATGGCCCAATGGAACGATATGCGCATTTCTGGTTGTGTCTCTAATGTAAAATCTTTTCAGGTATTTTAGTTTTCTTTTGAAATAAATTTTGATATTGTGTTAATCTAAAAAAAAAAGTCATAAAATCTTTCACCCATATGTATTGAACATGTATGTAGATTCTGAAAAATGGAAACAAATGTTAGTTGTCATTGTTCATAAATCGAAAAGACTATTGCATATCAAGATACACGTACAAACTTTACAGTATTCTAGCATTCTTATATACTGTATGTGCTTTTTCAGACAGAAAGAAATCAAAGTGTGATAGAAGAAGTGGCCCGGTTTGTGGTGAAAATGGGAAAACATACAGGAACGAATGCAAGGCTATTAAAAAGTAAAATTTCATTGTAACATTGTTTCTCTACTAGGTAAAAAGAGTGATGTTTTGTTAAAAAAAAAGGTATTGTTATCGTTGAAATTTTATGCTGCATTCTAAAAAAAGTTATTTAAGAAGGTTTAAAGATTTGAAAACAAATGTTTCTTATAATTTCATCAGGCATCAGACCAATGTTACATTAATATATTTGTACACTTAATTAATGTATTCGAACGTTTTGCTCATACAACTTATCATTATCATAACGCGCGGTATTCAATTTGCCGGCACGGCGTGTTATAGGACCGAAGACATCCCAAAATATGAATTCAGTACTTATATTTACATTCTCTAATTTTTCCTCTTCATGACTGTTTATTTCGGTAATCTTTAATGTGAATTCAGCTCCCTTTAAAAATTGTGTGCTTTATAGACGTAAGAGACGTTTGTGACGTAGCAAAGTTAGATAACGCAAACGAACAAGTGACAAATTAATTGAAACACACATTTGTTGTATTTTTACGTTAATTTAACAGGGTAATTTTCTTTTATTTAATAATTTACTAAATGGTTTAAAAAATTAAACAAATTTGAAAAAAAAAACCAATATCGTTGTATCTGTTCATCTGTAAAGTTAAAAGTAAAAGCATAAAATTGTTGATCAGAGTACAGGTATAGGACAACTAATATTTAACTTAAGCTTGTATATTTAACTTTTTTTTGCTATTAATTATGATCATTTGCTTGTAGGGGTATAGCTATAGCATGTAACAAGACCTGCCCTTGTGTGCCTTGTATCTGTACAGCAGAGTACGCCCCGGTCTGTGGTAAAAATGGACAGACCTACAGCAACATGTGCGAGGCAAAGTGTGCGTAAGTATGATAAGGCAAAGTGAGTGTGAGTATGATAAGGCCAAGTAAGTGTGAGTATGATAAGGCCAAGTGAGCGTACGTATAAGGTCAAGTGCATGTAAGTATAGTGTCAAGTGCGCGTGCGCGTAAGTATGATAAGTTAAAAAAACCGTAAGTATGATAAGGTCAAGTGCACGTAAGTATAAGGCCAACTGCATATATGTATGACAAAGCTAAGTTAATGGTCATTATAGCTTAAATAGACAGGACGCTGCTACATATGTAAAATCTTGATCATATCATTTGCGTAACATTGAAAAATTCTAAATAGAGGGTGACAGTAATTTTTGCTAATATTTTAAAAAGGGGCCAGAAAGTTAAGTGTTCCAATGAGTGTCCTTGTAAGAAGAAGAACCGCTGCGACAGATGCTTGAGAAAGAAACAAAAGGCGGTGTGTGGCAAAGACGGAAAGACCTACCTAAATAAATGCATGGCAAAATGCAGGTGATACAAAAGACCTTAAACCAAAGAATCTCAATAAACTACAAAATTTACTAGCTTGTTCATAACTGATGAATTTTCCTTACTCTTGAAAAAAAGAGAAAAAAAAATATCAGTTAGTCATATTACTGTTCAAAATGCTTAAATACAAAGTAACCCAATTGACTTATTCGTCAACTATGTATGACTTGCAATGATATGCATGGAATAGAGAGGTAACGAACGGGAATCAAGCTCAGAAGTTCATTAAACAATACAAATCGGGAACAGAACGAATACGGACCTCCAAAAACATCAAAGGTGGGATGAGGTGCCATGGAGGAGTAAGCATCCCCTACTGCCTGGTTACCTATAAAAAGTTTTAATGTAAAACATGAACTTTTCAATTTATTTTTTGTAATTGGAAAGGTAGTAAACAATCCCGTCTGAAATACTGAGTAAACCTCTCTCTATCTCTTACTGTTCCAACTAACTGGAAAGCAATTTCTAAAATACATATATTGAAATTCAAATGATTCATTCTAAAGTAGATTTTAAGAGCTGTTATATTAATTTTACAGAAACGAGAACTAACATAAACATATCCTTTTTGCCTTTTTATAGTGGACAAACCTTGCAGTGTAAGAACCAGTGTCCTTGCCCGACATGTGATTGCTCAAAGCCAACAACCCGGTGTCTGACTGATGCCAGTTTGACCAGGAAATGTTACGACCCCTGCAGGTAAATATTTAATAATCAGCTTTACAAAAAATTGGGTGTCTTCCCTCTTTAAAATCTGTTCATGCTCATATCAACATTTGGATATGAACAGGTGAGAGGGAAAGAAAGAAGGATTTTTTGATGAACATACATATGGTAAACATGAAAAATCCTGTTACTGCCTACAGAATTGTTTATGTGAAAAAATAATTTTGTTTTGAAATATATTTCTCGGAATCATCTTTAAAAACATCTTTTCTTGTAAATAAAGTTAGAATAGTATACAATTGCACAACATAGACTTTTAATTAACATTTTAATGAAAAATGCTTAAAGATTTAGTGTCAGATGTGTGTGGGCATCTTGAAGACAGATGGTTCTGTATTGCGACAAACATCTATCTGTAAGCGGTTTAGGAATGGTTGCAAAATATTTTATTCATAGAGGTTATTTATAGCAATTGAAGTCCATTGTTCAGAATTTCCTGAAAAAAGTGCATAAGTTCATACTCATTAACATGGTCAAAAGTAAATCCATAAATAATTATCGCTTTGAAGTAATAACAATTTTTTTTACGTAGATCATTTTTATTTTGTCATTCTTATAGGCCTTTTTAAACATGTGTGAATAGAATATACTCTCATCTAGACTCTCTGTGGCCTTCAACTGGACATTTAGTTGTATCGACCACGTATTGTCAATTAACAATGGTTATTTCCATTCGATATATCGCGGTGAGCTTGAAGTAAAAGATACCACAGAGTCTGATACATCTGTTTCATATTTAGATATTCCACCTGAAAAAGAAATTAATGATAATCTAACAACCAAGCTTTATGACAAATGAGATGATTTTAACTTTTCAATCGTCAACTTCCTTTACTTATGCAGCAATTTATACATCTTAATCACCTACATACAGTTTTTATATCTCAAAACAAAAATCTCAGTTGATTCGATACTCAAGAACATGCTCTACATATGAACATTTTTAAAGCGTTACTGAAACAAGAATATCATTAGTCCTGATTAAAGTCCTTATTTAGAAAGTTCTTTGGTCGATACAATGCCCATGTCAGCAAATACAGTTTATCGTTAAGCCAAATGCTGACTGACGTTTTCATTCTAATTTATATGCCATTATATACACACTGAATTGTCGACAGATTTTTCCGTTATTTCCCGATCATGACAAGGAGCACACGGCGGGTGTGACCGGTTGGCAGGGGATGCTTTCTCATCCATGGTACCTGATCCCACCTCTGATATTTCTGAGGTCCGTGTTTGCTGTGCTCCTATTTTGTTTTGTTTAATGAACTGTTGAGCTTGAATACTGTTTCCCATCTCCATTTATTTCATGCATAATCCTCCAAACAAACAAGGCGTGAGATAATTGCACATATCTCGTCTCTTACACGTGGGTTGGCATGCAGAACATTGCTATATAAAGGATTCAATAAATTAACCAAAAATAAATAGTTCCTTTTTTTCCTTACATTGAGTAAAGAACATGTAAATGTTCAATAGGTATTCAAACATTACAACGAAAAATATTGCTGTAATTCTTATATACCAGTATACGAGATAATGTATATAACAGTATTTAACACTGAAAATTTCGAAAAAAAAATTTCAAAAATAAATTCTTATTTCAAGGAAACAATGCAAAAAGTATAGGAAGAAATCAAAGAAAAACAAGAGGCCCTCTAAGAGATGTAGGTGTAAGAAGAACAGAAGACCAGTCTGTGGAAAAGATGGCGTTACCTATGGCAACAGCTGTATGGCAAGATGCAAGTAAGTTTTCCCAGTAAATGCAGTGCATAGCATCCACTGTTCTTTTAAGATAAAAGTTTATATGACTGTTCTTTTTTAGCATTGAATTGATAAAATTCACATGCAAGTTAGATAATAAATAATTTCTAAAAATATAACGCATCTACTGTATTTTATCATCAGGCGTGTAAAAATTGCAAGCCAGGGAGAATGCCCATGCGCATGTCCACTGTCATATCTTCCGGTTTGCGCATCTAATAACAAAACGTACGACAACGAGTGTTCAGCAAAGTGCGAGTAAGATATATGGTTTATACAGCAATCAAAATAAATAAAAAAAAAGACATCCTTCGAAAACTACATGTATTTTCAACTCAGTTTAGAATGAAATATTTTATATACTGCAAGAATAAATAAAGTTTAACATTGAAACTTAAAATGTATTGTAACTTGATTTTAAATACAAATTTCTCCACACATTACAGAAAACAAACGGTCACCTGCAATGGTCAATGTCCTTGTCAGGAATTGAGACCATGTCCTCGAATATTTTTACAAGTGTGTGGGTCAAATGGACAAACTTATGATAATGACTGTCTCGCAAAACAAGCGTAAGTATTAAATAAGTGTTCGAAAACAAGATAGTCAATTACTGATTCTAATTAATAATGGCATTGAAATAATAACCACATCTCCGACGATAAATAGGGCAAAGAAAAATAATGAAGTTGAGGATGAAGCAATATACATGTAAATGAATAATATTCTTGTAATCTGTGGGTGTTTTGATTACGTAACTGTATTTTCCAAGACCAGATAATTATTTTTCAAGTAAAGCATAAATCAATAGGAATCAAATACACACTTCAAATTCTAACAATGCGATGCTATTTATGGAAAATATTTATGATGTCTTTTTAAAGTGTTCAAGTGATAAATTTTCCCCTTTTATGTATTTTAAATTGTTTGAGATTCAGTATGAAACAACAAAGTTTCATGCAGTAAATGAAACAAAAAGTACATTTTTATTTCTGTTTCATTGTTAGATGTTTTTCTGACTATATACAAAAAAGACCAATCAACAACTAGATTGTATGATAGACGAAATATACATTTATGACGTCAGTTTTCGATCCATTGTAAACGTACATTATTTTCCTGTGATAGTCCTTCATCGCCTGTATATGGCCTTATGTCTTTTAACAATTTCTTATACACAAGAGAATTTGCTGCAACAATCCATTTTTAATCCGAGGCAAACTACTGACAAATAAGTTGCAGTCACAAAGATTTCAATAATCCCGTTTAAAGACAATTTTTGCTATCAGCAATAACCATGATGATTATATAAGCTATCGCTGGGTCTTTTTTCTTATACATGTATGTTTTTTTTATCCTATTCACAATTCGTATTGATTTCAGGATTTATGAGTGTGATCGCTGTTCGATATCTTCTCGGTTTACATTTGTATTTTTGTGTGTTTGAATAATTGCAAATTATGCCCCTATTACTCTAACAATGGAGCAATCAGAATTGTTATTTTGCAAGAAATAAAATCATAATATTGATCTGTCATTAAATGGTGTAATTTTATATATTTAATCTTGCTGTTATTAATGTATGATTTATACAATTTAATGTTACTGTTGTTTTTTTTTTATCAGAGGCCAGACTGTTGCTTGCCAAGGCCAATGTCCCTGCAGGTCTTCCTTGCTACCCTGTCCTCGGATTATGAACAAAGTGTGTGGCTCTGATGGCCAGACTTACAACAACGACTGTCTTGCCCGTCAAGCGTAAGAACAGTCTTGAATCTTCAATTGATTATGATTTTACAAAGATTCCAAAAATGGTATCAGGGCGTTGGTGACTTATAGTCCTATCATAACGACTTTGCAAATTTACCCTATCACAAGTTTAACTAACTTCTTTGATATCAGTTGTTAGGCCATTTACCTTCTACTAAAAGTTCCGTCTACGTAATCAATGCATAGGGCTAACGGCAGATGTTACCCGTAAACAGGGAATGCTTACTCCTCCTAGGCACCTGATCTCTCCTCTGGAATATCCAGTAGTCCCTGTTTTATGCCTTCTTTAATAATTATATTGTTTATGGACTTTTTTAAGCGATCACTATTCGTTATCAACTTTAATAGCGTTCAGTAGGGTAATCTTAATCTATGTTTGCTTCTAAACATGATTTTCTTGTTTATAATATGTTCTAGAAAAAAAAAATTAGGTGACATTTTTAAAAATAGAATTTCTTCAACAAATTAAAATATCAAATGAACTCCCAGTAAATTTCTATTTTCTTTTTTCATTACTGAGAAAGATCTATGTTTACAACAACCTAGACAAACTGAAAAGAAAACGCAAAATTTCCCCCGAATCTGTCAAAATCTATTATTAATTTCAGTGGAGTGACAGGGGAATGTTCAGGAGAATGCCCTTGCTCTCAACGACCTTTACTTCCTTGTCCAAAAATCATCAATAAAGTCTGTGGAGCAGATGGTCAGACGTACAATAATGATTGCTTGGCAAAACAGGCGTGAGTACAATAAGTACAACGTGATCTTAGTCTTTCTTTTAGTACGATATGATCTAAGCGTTGACAAAACAGGCATGAGTACAATTAATATAACGTGATCTAAGCCTTTACAAAACAAGCGTGAGTACCTTTTAGTACAATGTGATCTAAGCAGCTATAAGGTGACGATAGAGAAAAAAATGGTTGGAGGGGAAGAGTCGTATAAAATTGAGAAAAAAGAATGACAAAGAGTGGAAATGTATGTGAAGGATACCTCATGTGTAGGAAAATCTATCCTCGAAATTGGAGGCATTAACAACCTATTATAGAATGTTAAATAACTGAAAGGTTTTTATTAAAAATACCCATAAAAGTTACTTAAAGACAAAACTTAAATCACGAGCCACTTTGTGTATACTAATAACTGTCATTCAAGGATCAAGTAGTAGAAAGCAAAGGGCAATGGGCAACGTGTCATACTAAGAATACTATATACATGTGGTAATACGTCTACTAGGACAATGTTTTGATATTCTAGAGTCAAATAAACATAATTTAATGGAAGTATCATCAGATGTTGTATTATAAATTAAGCAAAAAAAATTCTCATTACATGGATAATGGATAATAGAAAATTGGTCATGGAATGATTTAAAATCGGTGAAATGGACGGCATAATTATATCATTTTTGTAAAGAAAATCTAAATTTATGTAACGTCTCGTACATGTAAGCATTACAGAAAACACAGTACATTAATCACTAAACTGACAATAATATCTAAAGCTCATTATTGTAATTTATCTTAGACATTATTGAAAGGGGAAATTACGCATAAAAACTTTCTGAAAATCGAAGCTGAAGTTTTAAAACGTGAAGCATAGTTGTTTTTAATTAAAAAACATAAATATGTTAAACTTTATTTATGTATATAAGTTTATTGTCTTAATTGATATTATCATACGCTTTTGTTGATTTAAGATTTTTCTTTAATACACTTTCAAAATCAATGACTTGAACATTATTTGTAATGGTTATTTTATCACCATTATTATTATTATCTAATATCTGTATTGTTTTACTATTTTGCTCAAATTAAGCGGTCAGCCAGTGGATTGTGAAGGGGAGTGCCCCTGCCCCACCAGGAGCAACCTTCGACTCTGCCCTCGGATTTATAATCCAGTGTGTGGCTCTGATGGGAAAACCTACGATAACGAATGCCTGGCCAAACAGGGGTATAAAATTTTGCACTAGCTTTTCTTTTAGATTTTTGAATAATGTATATACAGTCATTTAAATACACCCAATCAATTTATAACTCTTTTAGCTTACCAATATATTGGTCGGATTCCAAACAAATAACAAAGTGGGTCAGCAGTTACTTAGAGTTTGATCTTAGATAACACAAATAATTAGATTTCGATAGTTTTTCTGACAGTTCCGCAATGTTTGATATGTACATTTTACCACCACAATTTACATACCTATTTCAAGGAAAATAAGAAAATTTAACCATCACAATAATCAAATGAACGTAAATATAGGCAATCTTTACTTACTAAAATAGGCATTATATAGTATGTAACATTTTTATTTACTACACCATAATAAAAAAGTCTAAGAAACAATTTACAAAGTTAATAGTTATGTATGTATCCAATGTAAGTGCAAGATGGTTTATAAATCACTATCAGAAAACATAAATAAGTCATCAAATATAGAAAGTGGTTTTATTCATCCACATAACGGCAAATTAACGGAGAAATAGAATGGCTTTATTAAATTTCCATAATCTAATCACGAAGTAAAAACGAATAAGAATAGAATAATTGCAAGAAACGTTTTAGGTGTGCTAACATTGTAACCTTCTGGAACTGAACCAAGGACATTCTTCTTGGTTGATTTGAGATCATCTTACCAATTATCTTAAAATTAATGAATGATTCGTAATGGAAGAAGCTGTTCTACTGGCGAGATGAAAATTGATTAAAATAAAGGGAAAAATGCACACGTCTTTGCGTTTGAAGGACACATTAATTCAAATCTTTTTACTACAACTCACATTAGACAATAAGATAAACAGTGGACAGAAAGAAAATTAATTATCTTCTTGACAACCTGGAGATCAAAATGAATCATCAAAGCGTCCATGTTTTTCAATTTATCCTTCCTTTTGCACGATATTCGGTAATCATTTTACGGTTGTTTTTAATCCTATAATGCAGAGGAGTTCAGGTAGTACAGGAAGGAAGATGTCCATGCTTTTGTCAGCTGATCCTTAAACCCGTCTGTGGAGCTGACAATATAACCTACGACAATGATTGTAATGCAAAATGCAGGTATGAAGATCAATTCGATAAAATTTTAGCAATCACCATCAAAATGTCTATCAATGAGTCAATTTCGTTTTGATGTCATTTCGAACTTGTTATCTTCAGATAATGAAAACAACAAATTAAACCCTTGCGAAAATTAATGATTTTATGGCAGATTATTTTAATAAAAAATATTTTTACGTTAAAGACATTTTTTATCATGCTAAATTTTGAATTGTTTTTATTAAAAAAGTGGACAAACAGTGGATTGCGAAGGGACTTGCCCATGTAGAAGCAACTTAAGGCCATGCCCACGGATTATTTTACCAGTTTGTGGTAGAGACGGAAAGACCTACAACAACCGTTGTCTAATGGAACAAGCGTAAGAAATCCATCTGAAAAATGACAACCAATCAATAAAATAAATTTTGATGCCCTCCAATATAGACCTTTTAAACTAGAGAATATAAAATATATCTTCAGATTCTTTGAATCCAATTTACCTGATGTCTTATATTATGTTTTTTAAACACAATTTATATACAATAACATCAATATACTTTTAAAAACCAGTGGTCAAACTTCTGATTGTGAGGGGGAGTGCCCCTGCCCAACCAGGAGCAACCTTCGACCCTGCCCTCGGATTTATAACCCTGTGTGTGGTTCTGATGGGAAAACGTATAATAACGAATGTCTGGCAAAACAAGGGTAATGTTATACGTCAGTGAAACATGAATTGATACTTAATTCTGAATTCATTGACTATCTCACTATTTTATTGCTCAAAATAATATATTTAACCAACTGAATTCGTTGATTTATAGGCTACTAGTATAAATTAGAAATAATGCAGCCTCTGGGTGATTTATTTTTGCATCCTGATCCCCCTTTTACTTGGATATTTTACGAGAAAAAAACTTTGATACTAACCTAACAAAGTAAAGTATAGCCTTACAGTTTAGTTGTTGTTATGAGATTCCTTTAATGTAATAACATAATGCTTTCATATATTTTATTTCTGTATGCTTACCTACACATTAATGTAGAGTAGTTTGTAACTTACATATGATCATGACAATAAGCTTTGCCTAACACGTTTTGTACTGCCATCGTCCAAAGAGTTAATTTTCATCATACACCATGGTCCTTACTATTTACTTAAAGCCAGTCTGTCATTTGATTGAAAGCTCCAGCAATTGTCACATAATGAACTTTTCAAAGACGGATTGATAGAGGATAAAAATTGTGTGATTTGAATTTTGGCTTTTTTCTTTACCTGAGGCATGTCAACATCAACGGTGCTACGTCATCAAAGTTATACGTCATCAATTTAAATTAGCAATCATTCATGTAGTTTTGCAAAGCAAAATTTTGTTTAAACGAAAGTCGTATGAGATAAATAGAACATCTATAATTGTGTATTTGATATTGGCTTTTATTTGAAATGGTGTAATTCCTTGCAAGCCTCGCGAATATATATATACACCATTTCAACAAGTTGTTAAAAGCCAATATCAAACTCGTCACAAAGAAGATATCTTATATCCAACGAGTTGAAATGGTGTATATACCCCCGATTCCTTTAAATATACATCATTTCAAAGTTGGATAAAGCCAATATCAAATCACACAATTATAAATGTTCTATTTATCTCATTCGACTTTCGTTTTAACAAAACTTCTTATATTTTACTACGAAAATCCTTAATGTATTAATTCATGACTAATAGATCAACAATAAGCTTTGCCTAACACGTTTTGTACTGCCATCGTCCAAAGAGTTAATTTTCACGATCCCATGGTGTTCAAAATTTGGAATTTTTGCTATCTGCGTCTTTGAAAACATTATGTGACATTTGCTGGAGCTTTACATCAAACGAACTTCTGACTGAAAATTGTAAGGACCATGACGATCCGTGAAAATTAACTTTTTGTACGGTGGCACTACAAAACATGCTAGGCAAGGCTACTTTTAGATTCATTGTTGATCCATGGTAAGATAAACCTACATTACTCTTGTTACTAGGTAGGCATACGCATCATAATATAAGAAAGCATTATTGAAGATGTTAAAGGAATATTTATATAACAACAACTTAACTGCTAGGCTTTACTTTCTCTGAAAAGGATTTAAAGGGGGGGGGGGGTAACATCCGTCCTGAAGTAGCCAATACAGCATGATTCAGGTACCTTGATAAAAAAAGACACTTCTTTTGCATATACGAGTCTTTTTCTTGCCTTTAACGACATTATTGCTCTTAATCATTCATTTTATAAGGTCAATAATCTCCACAAATAAAATTTTCAATAAAATAAAATCTCGAAGCGAGGAATCGTGTCAAAACCGGAAGTGCTATTGATAAAGCATCTACCCGTTGATAAAGCATAGGTTTATCCAACGGGCTGTATCATCCACACGTATGAGATAAATGTTGTTATCTTGATATTTCTTTCTGCCATTAATGCATTTGAAGTTATGTTATTTACAGTATATTAAGATAGATGAAATATCTCTTTCAGTCTTGCAGATACATTTTGTGTTTAAAAGCAATTTATTTATTTAGGGTCAAAAATGCATCTTTTTATGTTCATCTTAATTATCAATATTTCTTCACATCAAGAAATATTCATCTTCGCTAGCCAAGGGTTTCTGATACGCTTCTCTCCTCATAATTCCTTGGCATACGGTGTTGATAGAAGTCGGTTTTTTTTTCTCGAGTTCTGATTGGAATTCGGTACACCTGGTCGACCAGTCAGCAATTGTGTTTTGTAAATGATGATATTTGCATTCGGGATACTGAGAAATATTTAAAGAACAAAATATATTGGATACACCTTAATAATAGAGATATCCTATCCAATCAGAATACTACTTAGTCCTTTGTCTTAAATAATGTTATTATAAATAAGCTTTGGGACTATCTTCTAATCATCATTTTTCATATGTAAGATAACGATTTGATTCCTTTGTTCTGTAATCTGGTGATTTAGAAGACCGTTATGGAAACCATTATTAATATACTGGTGCTTTGATCTGTTCATCAGGCTTGATTTTAGTGACTGACTTCGATCTTCAGTGTAGTTTTTGCTAAATTAGATGTAAGTGGTACAAATTGAAACTTTTATGTCCATTAGTACACACCCTTACTGTTTTATACTGTCCATGACCATACATAGCTGACATGATTGCAAATTAAACAAATTTAGTCATATGGTATGGGGGAGATCATTAGTTCATTTATAGTATGACAGGTTCACCTCCAAAGTTTTCTACATTTTTGATAGAGTCTATCCATTTTTAGTTGCTTATTTGCTTTTCCGGAGAATTGCGTGGGTATATAAGAACATTATTGGTAAGGAGTTTTTCCAGAGATCGTTTCTATATAAGTATTTGAGCAATTTCTTTTTGTTTTTTCGTTAGTACTCGTACATTTACATACTAGTATCTGAATATCTTTAGAAGTAACAAAATGAAATTGGTCTGAAAATTCCATAGACTTTAAAGTCACTGTTTTGTAAACTTCATTTGTCTTGCAGGGGAACCGAAGTGCTTCGAGAAGGCAGATGTCCATGTATATGTCAGGAAATTTACAAACCTGTCTGTGGCTCTGATAATAAAACATATGACAACGCTTGTAACGCTGGATGCAGGTTCGATGTTTCGTGTTTATATGATATCATTTGCTTTTTCTCATTACTTGTTTACAATATTACATTCATGTGAGAGAAAAAAAATCTTCTTCCTGGATGATATATTTGAAAAAAAAAATTAAGCAAAATATGAAACTGTGAATACTAAATAATACATGTAGTTTGCTATTTTTAAGTGCCTTATTAATGGACTAATTGAATTCTAACATAATAATGAAATTATCAAAACATTGTTGAAGGAATTTCTACATTCACATTTGAAATACTGTCCAATTTATACCGTATGACTCGGATTTGTGTAGTTTGAGCTATTATGCACCGATTTAATGAATATTTAAAAACATAAAGTGTTCCAATAAGGTGGAATATGCATAGATTTAAAAAAAAATTCATAACGATAACATTACATTTTATTGTAACGAACGTAACTCAAGATATACAATTTTAACTAATTTTTCAGCAAATGAAATGGTGCTTCGCAACATACAGGATAAAATTGTAAACAAACGAACTGTTTTAATCCAATATCCATGTATATGTAGAGTTCCTAGGTCCAGATTGCATCTTATCATTGTTTAATTTAATTTTCCTGTCTTCTATGAGGTCTATACATCATAGTTGTCAGCGTATCAATAAATTTCGCTTTGGAAAGAAACGGAAGATACGAGGGACGTTCAATAAATAATGTCATCGGGGCTCGAAAAGAAACAAAAAAATCGCTTTTCTATGATTTCGTCTTTATGATTTAACTAAAATATTCTCTTTTAACTAAAACACGTGTCTGTAACATTTTTATTCCATTTCTAATTGTTTCTAGAACACATTTTTGAATATGACCCTTCGTATACTGGAATACGGCAGATCATATGATTTGCTGTACATGTTTTTTTCTTTCTAAAAGGTGTTTTCCTAAGTTTGGGGAATGAAACAAGTCAAAGGTTGAAAGATCTGGCGAATATTGTTGATGTAATAAAACATTAACTTTCTGTTTGCCCCAAAACTCCTTTACTCTTCATGGCCTGTGGGTTTGGACGCTGTCATGAAGAAATTTAATGTAGTGAATTCCTCATTCTGTTTCCTTCCTCTCTTAAACCTTTCATTTTTTTTTTTGCAAATAATTTGCTTACTAGACTCCTCCAGAAATTGAACTGCCTCCCCAAATATAAATTTGAACAACAAGACCGCTAATATTTAAGAAAATAACGTATAAAACTGTTTTTGTGTTCTTGCAAATCTTTGCTCTTCTTAGGCCTTTGCGGTTTTGTCAAGTGCATCTTATTGTAAATTTCTTTTGAGGGTTTAACGCGAAATGGATTCAAGTTTTATGATCTGTTTGAATTTCAGACAAACGTGGATAAAGTACAATTTTTGATTTTAAAAAAATAATTGTTAAGATTTTCTACACGCTTTCGTTTTCACTCATTTTCAAAAATATAGGGTGCCCTTTGAGTATTAAACTTTCTTACTATCAAATGTTTCTTTAAAACAGTATGAACTACCCCCAAAATGATGTCTATCAAATTTGCTATGTGTCTAAAAGTCAATAAAACATAATCAGCTATAATTTGTTGAATTTTCGCTAATACAGTGAAAACTGTCTAATCCGACACCTGAATAATCCGACACACTGTGAATTCCGACGTTAAATTTCTTTACCATTTTAGTATTTTCCTTGTTTTTAACACTGTGCAATCCGACATCCTGTCTATACAAAATATGTCTCCCAGTGCATGTCGGATTAGACAGGTTTCACTGTATACATTGGTTGTTGTATGCTCTTGTTGCCAAGGACTGTACCCATTTTTGATGCCCATTATATAATTTTTGTTAATTGAAATCCACCTGTTCATGTTTGTATGAAACAGACTTAAGTTGCTATAAAGAACTATATGCGGTATATTGTATATATTTGCCCCCCACAAAAGTCAAATTTTGAAAACTTCCTGAAATGTGCTGAATTCAATAAATTGTATGAGAAATATAAATTAACAGAACATATTATTGTTTCAAAGTAGTTTATTCACAATTTTTGTTTTTATGACGTCACAAACTAGTCCGATTTTATATCCTTTTTTCAGAAAGAGGAAAAAATGGACAAAATTTCAACAATTTTAGCTTTAAAATTTATAGAGCGCAAGTTTGTTCAGGAACAACATTTACATATTTCATTGATATTATCATTCTACACATTATATCAAAATATTGAGCCTGAACACACATGCGCTCGGTGACTTTTACTCAAAATATCGACGAAATATGTACATTTTTCTGAAGAATTCATAAAAAACTGAAATTTACCTCATGTTTGTGACGTCATTTCGAACATATGACGTCATTACTTATGAAAATATTCAGCGCGTTGAAGTCAGCATATACCCCCCTATTTAAGAACATAATTAAATATTTCTCCATCAAAGTTTGGTTTGGGGGGCAAATATCGGTTATTACCGAATAAAGTTCTTTCACATATTTCAGTTAATATATTTTTGGGAAATTAACAAGTTTTACAGCAGCTTTAATAACGCGTTCAATTTTACTTTAGTTTACAGATTCTTGACCATTCATTTTTAATGCAGTGTCTCGAATAGCCCTTGTTTTCCAGCTTCCCACAATGAAATTATGCGATGAAAAGTGGTCACATATATAAACTGTTATCAATTCATTAAAGATTCAATAATGAGAGAAAGTCAAGCTTAATGTCATATGATTTCTATGTTGTATGTCATCGAGTTGATGACATTATCTATTGAACGTCCCTCGTATTTCCCGCCACCATAAGATATGATGAGTTACGAATCTTATCACTTTGAGAGCAGATTACATTAATGACAGCAAACTTAAATCACTGTAGGTCAAATGGAAAAAGTAGCATTTTATAATTAAAAATTTGCTTACTGGACGTTTTGTTTGACATTTCAGTGATATTTCTGTAACCTGTGAAGGCCAGTGTCCCTGTCAATCATCTCTTAGGGCATGTCGAATGATCTATAATCCTGTCTGTGGGGTAAATGGACAGACGTATAGCAATCGCTGCTCTGCAGAAGCTGCGTGAGTAAATTAAGTTCCAACATTGTATCAATACTTTCAGATTCGAAAGCGAAGCAAAGTAGTTAGAGAGTCTGCTCTAGAGTCACGAAGTACGGAGTTGATCCTTACGTTTCGGGTTCGAATCCAACTTGCGAGTCCTTCGGATGAGACCGTATAATGCGAGATTCCGTGTCGCAGTAGGTACTGGTATGAAAAAAAGATCCCTTGTTGCTCAAATTGCTTAATTTAAGTGTCAAGTACAGGTCTGAGTTTGCCGGTATGTGGCGGCGTTTCAGTATTATTACATATACTCACTGTCTTGTAACGTAAGAATTTGTGTTTAAACAATTCTACGTTACGCTTCTCTGAAACAAGTATTAAGATATGACTGACCATCAAGACACATCAGTTCTTACTTTTCCTCCATTTTGATAAAGTCAGTTATATTGTTCTCAAGAATCAAGACAATAAATACATGAGTTCTAATTTAATTTAAACATTGCCCCGAATATTTTAGGCACCCTGCTCAATTTCATTGATTTGAATGATTTTACAGGAATGTGGCTATTAATTGTAATGGAACATGTCCGTGTAGAAAACCGTGTGCTTGTCCATTCATACTAAAACCTGTATGTGGTAGGAATGGTGTTACATACGACAACGAGTGCGGAGCCAGATGTGCGTAAGTTATCGTGAGGTGGATCCAGAATCTTTGATAAATTCAATTTAATTTGAAATATCATAAATGTTCCATCCTAGTGCGAATACACAGATGATATTATATGAACATGATTTAACAAATGTAAATGCTAATATTAGTATTTATATCAAAGAGGATAATAGATACCTTTCTGAACAAGGTTTGAAAAAAAAATCATTAAATCATATTTTGAAATTCAAAACGTCAGTAAATTGTTTTAACAGGAACCAAAGCGTAGAATGTGAAGGGCAGTGTCCATGTCGGAAGACGTGCGTGTGTCCATACATATATTTACCAGTGTGTGGAATGAACGGCAAAACATACGACAACGAATGTTCAGCTACCTGCGAGTAAGGCAAATTTTGGGTTTATATATTATTTTTTATTTTGAATGACACTGAATACTAATATACAATCCCAGTCAATCGCTGTTAAATATTTTTGAAGTTCGTTATATTTTAAATAAATGAAGTTCAGTCTGCATTTGTTGTTACAGTCGATATTACAATGAACAATAAATACCATGTGTTTTCTAACTCTTTGCCATTATATAATCCTCTTTATCTGTGTTATCTTATTCTTTAATTGAAAAGAAAAATGATAATAAAAATAAATAAATATAGTACTTTAATTAATTACATTTTAGCGGTACTGAAAAACAATGCAGTGGGTCTTGCCCATGTCCTGAGAGCAAGCCTTGTTTGTGTTCACGAATTATCGACCCTGTTTGTGGCACAGATGGCGTAACATACGGTAACAGCTGCCAGGCTCGTTGTGCGTAAGTATTTTTGTTTGAAAATTCTGTATGATAATTGTCTGCTTGGAAGTATCATTGAGCTTATTTACATTTCTCCAATTAGTTAAATTAAAGAGAAACCAAGAAATGAAACCAAAAAAGGTTAATGATAGGTTGTCCTGACAGATGCTAAAATAATCAGGTCTAAGTATCCACTGATGAGTTTTTACAAGCTTACCCTAATGTATTAACAATTCATCAAAATAAATCTGCTTTATCTCTTCTGACAGGAGTCAATCAGTGGCGTGTAATGGCGAATGCCCCTGTACCATATTAGCGTGAGGATGAATTCAATGGAAATCCCCAACAAAGAGCTTATAATGTTTAGCAGAGGAGTATAGGGACAAGATGAATTCAATGTTTGAAGTTATGTCTTCTTTTTGTACTGACTGACCACACCTCCCCCATATTTTTATAATTATGTATTTTATTTCTTGTCTTAAGTATGTGAATTTCACATGTATCATAATAATTGAACACCGTTGAAGAACCATTGAGGTGCTATATTTATGTGACCCATATATATTTTTTTTCATATAAGTGTACGTATATGTAACAAATGACTGTTTCACATAAAAGAAGTATCATATTTTCCTTATATTTACAATAACATTGAACAAACCCAGTAAAAATATTGCAAATGTATAGATTCTGTGAATTTTATGGCATACTTTTATACAACATTTTGTCAAACAGTTTTTTTTCTATCAACACTGAAAACAAGAATCAAAAGAATAGACCTAAGCAGCTATTAGCAATGCGTACATGATTAATGTTTAAAAGTTGATACTGATTTTGCTTACCTATACAGATATGAATTGCTGATTCATGTGTTCGAAATAATTATTTGTATAAATGTCTTACATTTTAACTGTAAACACCTTTTTAATAATAAAAGCTCAAATATATGTATTATATAGACACGTATTGAAAAAAAAAAGAATAAATTCTTTGAGTTTAGTTTTATTTTTGTAGAATAACAATACTTTACATTTGTGCTGTGCATTTGAGAGTATGTAATTTTCCAGCGTTTTGCAGCGTTTTGCAATGATGTTATGATTGCTTCGCAGAAATCATTATATACGCACACAAAAAGACCTTATTTCATCCACCGAACATTGTCTTAAACAGCAGGAACAGAATAAATCCTTTTTAAATTCCTTCATTGCCTTAGGTTCGTCCCGAAAAATGGATGCAAGTCCTAAAATAAAAAAGAAAACAAATCAACGAAAGAAATAAAAGATTAAAATTATAGACATAAAATCATGATTAGTACGTTTGTACAAGTCGTACTTATTTGCATCGCTCTTTTCTACAAGGTACATGTATTTAAATCTGTAGCTAAAATGTCTTTTGTAAACTTGATAATGATGTTGCTAAAAAAAGGTCGTCTAGAAAGAAGAAAAATCAATTGTAGGGATATTCATGAATACTGTATTTCAAAATAATTAGATATCTAAACCATTTCAGACTTGAATGGCATCTAATAGCATTATTTAATTACAACTGGTATACATTGCTCATTATCGATATCATTCTGACTTTGTAGTTAGTCATGTAAACATCATTAGTTGTAAATATTCTGGATAAGACATAGAGCTATGCTTTAAATCTTAGAGGATTTACAATACAATAACAACCTATGTATGGATCGACTTCGGGAACTGTGATGCAATCGCCTTAATTCCAAAAGATTAATTATCGGACAATACCTCTAGCTTAGTTGTATGGATTTACTCAGGACAGCTCGTGTATGATTGCATTATCTCTTTATGTGTGAGTGCTCGCAGTTCAGACTTGTTTGGAAAAGGTCAACTATAGTCTTAAAAAGGAATTTTTCATAGCTTTGCAAGATTTTTTTTTATAGTTTAATGTTTTTTCTTTATATTTAATTACGTATCTTTTGCAGTACTCCTATTTCCACGAAAAACAACATTAATATGTTACAAGGCAGGATATAATCGAGTTGTTATTCGAACATCACTCTCGTCTTTTTGCTTTCCATTGATCAGCAATCATTGATCCATTGATCTTTTAACTGATAAATTAATTGTATGTTTTAGATAAGATCTGATCAGATATATTGACAGCAAATGGCATGAAGCAGAACCGTTTAAGGACAATGCACGCATAGAAAAAACATTTCGTTTGAGAAACTCTTTGATTCTTTCTTTGCCAATTTGCTATATGATACATGCAAATTGTTCTGCAAGATGCTAACTCCTCCTGTAGGCACCTGATTCCACCCCTAGAATTTAAGTTGTCCGTATTTATAACCGGTTCACAATAGTTGTATTGTTTTTATGAGACCAATCTCTGTTCTCAACTTCTTTACATCTTTACCATTTAGGGAAATTCAACAAGTATACATTTTACTACGTCTTTCAGTATCTTCTAAGCAAAAAAAAAAAAATTGTAAAACACATTGTATTTTCTGAACTAACATGATCGGAAAAGAATCCCTGTTGATACTCATTCTTATGTTATTGAGAGAAAAATTAGGTTGAATTATTAAGGATTAGGTAAAAATGACAACGGATAAAAAAGTAAAAAAAAAGTTGAAAATACTTTTACTTGAATGTAACGCAGCTCATAAATGTCTATAAAAAACTTTATGAAAGTCCACATAAAAATTCATGCTAAAAGGACTGCAACTTAGTGTTATAAAATAAATATTGAAACATGAATATCTAGATTATATTATTAATAATTAAAAAATTTCATAGTAACTTTTTACGCTCTTGCCTAGTAGCAATACTTCCCCCGAAATATGTCTTCAATTCGTTCCAATTTATTTTAATTTTAAACATTATGTTATATCTATGACGTAATACATGTACCAAGACCGCAAACTCTAAAAGTAGATTTCATTTGGAATAAAGGAAAATGGTTTCGGTTTCAATTCAACTTCTGCTTTCCTTGGTATTGTAATGCATACTTCTTTAAATGTATATGACAGGGTACAGACATGATTAAAAATCTGTTATTTACCACATAAACATAACAGTTCCTCTAACCCTTAAAAAACTCAAGAGCTCTTATGACATTTCATACATCTTATATTTGTTGTCTTAAAAACTGCTTATACATTAATTAAATTCAATGGATGCAACAAAGGGTAACAAAGACTAGCACCCTCATATTTTATTTTTGAACTAAGTACATTGTAATATAATTTCTTATTTGTTATAAGGGTAGTAACATTAGTTTTACTAAATATTAAAATTACACAATTACTGAATGAATAAAATCTATTGAGTTAAAGATTACTTCGCAAAAATTCTAGAATAACCAACCTTTAAATCTGGGAATTTTAGCAGATCCGCCACAAATGAGTTCCAGGCTGTCCATTAGAGAGGAAGCGCATTCGAACCCGGCGTGTCCAGCGGTCAAATCATACTTGATTCCGTTGGAACAAATCACTGCACTTCTGTCTCTTTTGGAGATAACCATTGAAACACACAAAACTAAAATTACTGTAACCTTCATTTTGCCTTTGATATTAAGCTAAACGTTCCCTCCGGCTTATTGATTTGAAAACTGTACGATTCCGATGTCTTAAATACAAATACTTCGGCTTACTTTGACTCCAACGTCATCAACAAAATTGCGCACATCGAATCAAATCCGTCGTAGAAACAAAAACAAAAGATTCATTACGTGAAGAACACAAAGAAAATAAAAGAAAAGCGAACACATATTCCAGAATTTTAGGAATGTTTATTTCACTTTTTATTTTAGACAACAGAGTAATTAAAATTAAAATAATTAAATTGGTAGTATAGAAAGAATTTCTTGTGCAAAGATTAAATGATTGCACATGCACAATTACGCTTATTTACGATGGATTTATTTATACAATATCAATTAGTAAATCGCCTTTCAGTTACAATTCAAAGAAATATAGAAATTCAACACTGGTCTGAAATCTGATTTTATTCACGTAAACAATAATCATTAAATTATAGTCCATCTTAAAGGATTAAATCATAAATACCACTAAAGGCACACCTTAATATCATCTTCCTGCAGATTTCTTGCAGAAAACTTCTCACCTCTATAAACGTAAATTAAGGTACCAAAAAAGATATATGTAAACATGATAAACATATTCTTGACATTTTACAAAATATGAATGTCAGCCATATATCGATCAAATAATAATATGATTGTGCAGTTTTGTGAATATAATTTGAATCTTGAAACACGAAGAAATCATAAAGTTATTAATATTATTATAAAAGTTAACATCCTTTTAAATATTTTCTTTCAATATGAAACATAGGAAAAAGTTATATAGAAAAAACATGTATATCTTAAATTCTCCAAATGTCTTTTAACTTTTCTTTTTCGAAAAGTCGAACGCAGATTCATTTTACCTGATTAAATTTATGTCATAAACGAAAGGCATATTGCAAGCAATGTTATTATTCTTGCTGAAAGATTCCAGAAAATACATGGTTTGTTTGCCTAGCTGCATTTAAAAGCCTTGTTGACTATCTAAAAGCGATCGACCAATAAAAAGAGTCGCAGAAGGCACAAAAATACGTGAGACGTTGACACAAGATAACACAATTAATTTGTTTGGAACTAAATTTTTATTAGGTCACTTATTAGTTGAATAAAAAAAAATACGAACATGAAGTATAACTGAGTCATTTAAATTTGTGATGAAATTGTAATAAAAAAAACTCTAGTCTGATACTAGTATTTAAAAAAAATATTTTATTTTGTTTGTCAAATTGTTAACATTTTATGCCAAAAATTAGGGGAAAAAAATCAAAGATACACTTAAATTATAGTTAAACTTTTAATTAAAATGACATTTTTTCTTCAGTTAAAATAAGGAACAGTATTTAGATACGATCCAGGAACTGGCAGAATGACACCAAATCAGGTAGGGAACATCGGTGCATGCAGCATTGACAAAACATCACGTGATTGATTTCCTCTGCTGTGGAGTCGGGTGTCAATGGTTGATCTGGAGTGAAAAAATGTTTTGAAATGACATCAGATTACTTTTGAAATCTATATATTTTTCACATCATCATGAATGAGTAGCTAATTTAAAAATTAATATATAATTGTTGATTATCTCCCCTTTTTTCTCTCCCCTCTCTCCCCTTCTGCATACATCATGTTTTGGAGATACTTAACGAACAGTAGCTCAAAAGTTCAATCAAAAAATACAAAATCACAAATCAGAAGCAGAGCAAACATGGACCTATATTTACATTTCCAATGACTTTGTCCGAGATAAAATTACAAATGCTATAAATACTTTATTTTTACATAAATCTACTGGTTCATCGACAGGCCTTGTTCTATTTGTCCCGCCCCTCACGTGATTTTTCTTTCACCACGAAAGAAAAATCACGTGAGGGGCGGGACAAATAGAGACAGAAGCGGGTAGCACGTAAATTTGTGGAATCAAGACCATGTAAATATAAAGAATAACTGTAAGATTTTTTGGTTTCATAACGATGATCAATCGATTGGCTTGCATAATTTAATGCATAAACACCATCACGCAAGCCAATCGATTGATCACATCATGAAACCAAAAAAAAAAAAAAGATAGTTACTTCTTAATTAAACATCAAATGCCGTGGAGAAGTGGGCATACCCTGTTGACCGGTCACACCCTGGTGATTTCCTTGTCATGAACAGAAAATAACAGACAAATCTGTTGAAAATTCAGTATGTAAATTAAAACCTAAAAAAAAGTTTCGGAAAAAAGTCAGTCAGCATTTGACTTAATAGACCAATTGTATTTTGCAGACAAGGTCATTGTGTCGTCCACAGAGCTTACGAAATGACGACTTTAAAAGATATTGCTGATATTTCTGTATCATCAACTTGTTTTTCAACAACTTTGCACGTATGAAAATTGTTTATACGTTGTGTATGCTGTTGAGTGTCAAATCAACTGAGAGATACATATATGAATTTAACCTCGTTTACAGGTGATAAGGGTTTTTTGCTGATGGAATTTGACGATTGAAAATTAAAATCATCACGTTTATCATAAAGCCTTGTTGTAGGGTTAACATAAACGTCTTTTTTCTAGTAAATTATCCAAGTATGACAGATGTGTCAAATTCTGTGGTTAATTTCAAGTTTATTAGAATATTTCGTGAATCGATAATACGTCGTCCTTATATCTAAATGTCGAACTGAAGGCCACAGCAAGTGTTTTCTTCTTCCCATGTATAAGATGTTCAGTTCATTTTTCTTCATACGAGGGCTGTTCAATAAATAATGTCCTGAACTGTATGACGTACAATACAGATATCATATGACATTAAACTTGACTTTCTCTCATTATTGAATCTTTACTGAATTCAAAACAGTTTACGTGACCACTTTTCATCACATAGTTTCACCGTGAGAAGCTGGGAAATAAGGGCTATTTGAGACACTGCATTATAAATGAATGGTAAAGAATCAGTAAACTAGAGTGAAAATAAAGGCTACATGAAAGCTGCTGTAAAACTTGTTAAAAAAATCCCGAAGAAATATTCAATGAAATATGTGTCATTTATAGCAACCGATGCCTGATTTATAGACAAATGAGCAGGTGGATTTCAATGATAAAAAATGATATAATGGGCATAAAAATGGGTACCCTCCTTGCCAACAAAAATTATAACTTATGTGCTGTTTGCCAAATTCTACAAATAATGTTTGATGATGTATGATTGACTTTAAGCCACATAGCAAATTTGATAGACATCATATCGGGAGTAATTTACACTGGTTTTAAGAAACGTTTGTGGCAACGCACTTTGAAAAAATTACGCACTTTGAAAAATTTTGTTTAAAGTGCTTAACAATTATTTTAAAAATCAAGGCACTTTGTTTTATAAAAAGATTTTGGAAATGTGCGTTAAAACCACAAATAAAATTTACCATAAACGCACTTTGATAAAAAAATTTTCAAAAGCAAAGGTATGCAAGAGTCTACATCAATATATTTTACCATGGAGACACTTAACGCACTTTGTAAAAAAAAATCATATTTTAGTCATGGAAAGTTATTTTTTTCAAAAAACTAAGCCTAACCCTAACCTCAAAAATGAATTGATTTACTCCCGTCCAAAAGAGGAGAAGACGGGATAAACAGAAAGTTCACCTGAACATTTCCAAATCTTTATCTTTCCAATACATAGGTGTCGAAAAAAAAACGGGGGAGGGGAAATAAACCTAAAAAGGGTACGCTGCATTTTCAATGCTTATACAAAAATGTATATATCTTTCCAAAATAAATTGGGGGCTTACAGAGTTCCCCCCCCCTCCCCAACTCCCTTTTGGGCCCTTCGCCCAGTCTCGATGTCTATGCTATACTCAAAGCATTCATACAATTATGAATTTAAATAACTGGTATGACTTTGAAAACTTCCAATAATATATGAGTTAATTAAAACAGATTAAAACTAGAAATTTTTAAGTACAGTAAAACGTATGAGAGAGAAAGAATTTTCACAGTTTTGAACAATCAAATTGGCCCCTTTTTATTATGATAAATGCTAAGTTGCTTGAAGCTGTCCTCTGTTAGTGCCCCCTATACACCTTTACATCTACTTATCAAAGACTTGAATTAAAAAAAAAGAAGAAACGAATTAATGAACATAAACAATCGTCACTCTTTTTATCAAGACCATTTAATTTTCCCTTTTATTCTATCAAAACCTTAAATATTTAAAACGTCAATATCTCAGGTCCTACAGTGACTTTATCATAAAAAAAGTTATCAAACCAGGATGCTGTTATTTCAAAATTTCATACCGATTATTTGAAAAAATATTGAAAATCTTTACATTTTTTTCAAAGTGCGTTAGCGCATATGGTCGATATATCGCATTTTGAAAAAAAATTATTTTATATTCAAAGTGCCTTACATTATGAGTTTCCAAAAAATTTCAAAACTTTGAAAAAGTTTTTTATATTGGTCATTTTTTCAAAGTGCGCGTTGCAAGCAAACGTTTGCGCGTACAAAAAACCTTGAGTCCGCAAATCTACATAATATTTTGAAAAAAGGTTTGAAAACGACAGTGTGTATGTACAGTTTACACAATTATTCCCGGACAAAAAAGTACCCAGGAAGAATAAGAAAAATAATAATAATAATAATAATAATAATAAGAAACAGATAAAACATAAATCTATTGTTTGGGGAAAAATAATAAAAAATTTACGGACATGTGTTTGAATAAAAAGTTAAATAAGTAAAATCATGAAGACTAAAATTGAAAAGGTATGCTTTCTGAGCACAAAGACATTATTTATTGAAATTTTCGTATGGATATAAAATAAGTTTGCTCATAAAGGGGTGCTATTGGTACCCCTAAGAATTCCAACAGATTGTTGGAAAACCTGGTCTACAAAAACTGCATAGCTATTGTCAATCAGAAACTCAAGCATCTTTTTAATATCAACTTCAGAGTACTCCTGTGTACAATTAGAATGTTTATTTAACAAAATAATTTTACAAATGACCAATCACATGGTAGGTAAATTTACGAGTTTCATTTTTACTGAGAAAGCCGCTGTCAAAACTGAGGCTTTAAT